GATGGTAATATACATGTAATGAAAAAATGTCATAAAAATCCTTATTAATGGCAAAAATTACTTAACATTTATGGGTCAGCTTGCTCGAGTGGGCAGCCATGTTGTAAATTTCTCTTAGCCCTTCGTTTGAAGTGAGGTCCCGAAAAATCTTCGTTTTGAGGGCTATCTAGCCCTTCCCCTTACCCCTACCCCTCCAATCAAAAGAGAATTGAGACACCCCTACCCCTACACGTGAACGCGCCAAACGGAGGGGTAGGGGTAAGGGGTAGAATTGGGATTGGGCCTTACTCTCCTACCAACACTCTTTCCTTCAGTCAGTGACGTTATCTCTGGTAGGAATTTTCAAGCAAAATTCATGCTCTCCAGACAAAGGAACTGGGAGATCCACGGCTCTCAGCCCAATGTTCCACCTCATATTCCAGGCATCGCACTCCACATCACCCCGATATACCCTTCGTCACTTCCCTGTGGGTCTGCGTGGATGAGGCCCTCTTGCACATTTTTATGCTCAATGGGGGGCATCCACACTGGAGAGGGGCATCATGGGAATTTAGCTGGCTGCCTCCACAGTACTTGACTCCAAGCCATTCTATCCAGCCAACTTGTTGGCTTGACAGACGCAAGTCTTTCTCGTTGCACCACCTCAGTCCATTAACTTTTACTCAAAGTGGACCACAGATTAAATCGTTATAAGGCGCCAAAGTCACTTCGACACCCAGGCACTTGTAAATGTGTGAACGAATAGTATTGCTTTATGAACATCCTGTCCTAGGGGCTTGTAATAGGGCATTAAAGTTCATTGGGAGGAAAAGAACATCACTTTTTCTGATATATGTTACATTGATGTAAAAGTGATATGAACCAATAAAACATAATGCTGTGAGTTATATGATCCTCAGCTACCAGTTTAAGGCACCGTAGAATTTTCTTTTTTAGCATTAAGTTTAAAGTCAGTCGTTAACTGTTGGATTTAAAGCAGCAGAAGCCTTGTATCTTTAAAACCTGAGATATAATCCTTGCATTTGCCTTGTACTGGGTTGTCCTTAGCAGAGAGCACCTTCTGTGAATTGTGTGTTATTTATATCGCTGTGGTCATCAGCTCTGCACTCACTTCACGCAATCCTGACCATCTCGCCTCCAGCCGGGGCATCTGGCGTTAAGGAGACGATAGTTAGACGTATAATTTTATCTCGTAAATGGGCCGAACGCCTGGGCAGGACTGGGGTCAAAATTTGGCACTGGACTTCGGGGTCCCACGTGGCCCCATTGCACAGAGGAGGGGGGGGGGGGGGGGGAGGTTCCCATTATAACTTTTGCCGAGAGAAACATTTTCCTGACCAAGGGGGTCCCCACGATAAATTTTGCCAGGCCAGCTGCCCATCGGCCGATCGGGAATGCCAGATTGTCGTAAGGGGGGATCCCAGAAATAATATTTCAACGAGTGTAGGGGGCAGAGTGGAGATTTTAAAAAACCCGTGAAAGACAAGGTATGAAACCTACAGAGGCTCCATTCCAGAAGACGAATGGCTTCTCTAATGAGCACCTTTCTCCTCGCGTGAAAAGGCGACACCTGTGAACAGATTCTTCACCAGCCCTAGGTGTGTGCATGAGGGAGCAGGTGCTACTAGGTACTCTGACCTCCTCGGCTTGTTCCCGAGATCCCGCATCTCTGTTCTGAAGAGGGAGGTCACGATCCTCAGCTGAAGAGCTTTCGTTCCTGAAGGGCTTTCTGAAGTGCCTACACCTACCCCACTTTCCACTGACCCCTTAAGGGGCTTCTTTGAAGTAATCTTAGCAAATCAATTCCAGAGATCCTCTAAATCAGCTTCCACCCCTTATTAAGATAATGAAGATAAGCATCAGTAATCGGATGTCAGTGTAGAAGTTTGGCACCTTGGGGATGTGTGGAGAAGAATGATCAGAAACCCAACAAATGGTCTAGGAGCTGAATTGAATAGCTGGCTTAGAGACAATGGGATTGGGGAGTTTGCTGATATGAGCATGAGTGAGTAGGGTCCCTGTACGTTCTTAATACCTGTACTTTTGTAACCTAAACCTCTTAACTAAGCAGTCGGAGGCCTTTGCGGCAGGTGCACAGTAGAAATGTAAATGCAGGTGTTTTCCCAGGCAAAAGGGATGGACTCGTGTTGTCCCTGAAAAGTCTGTCCAGCCCAGGAGCTGCAGGGGATTGGAGAGAAATAAATATAATGGCAAGATGATCTGTTCAGTGTCCAGGCTAAAGTAGGAAGTCCACAGGTAGCCAATAGCTGTTCAAGGAAGGCGGAGTCATCGCATCGCCATACTAACATCTGGCCGAGGCCACGGACAGAGGTGCAGGGCTTGGGAGCAACTGGGAAGCAGAGAAGTCACTTTTGTGAAACGTGTTCCCTGGTTTCCACAACCGCTACTTGCGCACATCTAACATAAGCATCTTCGTTTTGAAGGAACCAGCTGGTATATTGGACTCGACAAAATCAGTTTGCTTCCCCGACGCTCCAAGGACCATTGTTTCCCGCATTTCCAAATCCCGGGAGCTGGAGCCCCAATCGATATTCCAGCAGAGAAGAAAGCGCTGGGGTGCTTTGTATGCCGTTACCCTCTGTAGCGTCGACCCCTAGTAACCAGCTGGGCCAATCAGGCCTGCTTCTCTTTCCACTACCAAAAACGTCGAGTGTGATGTTTAGGGTTTTTTTTTTTTTTTAGGGTTCAGTGCTTCTCAAACCGACTCTCCAACACTGACTCTCCACAGAAATGGCCCCTCTTGCCACTTCCCCAATAAAATAATTCCAGCCTGGCGCAGGTTGATATTTGTCAGCTTAAAGCCAGCGCAAGGCTTCTGTCTGTCACTCCCCGTGACAGAGGTGCATGCTTATTTGCCATTCTATTTTGAGGCTTGATTGACGGGTCGACAGGCCTGACATTCACAGCGCCGCAGTGGAGCCCGTTATTATCCCTGCATTAACATTCTGATAAACACACGGTCGGTCATTGAAGAAATAATTACATCCCGTCACTTCACTGTCTCAAAGAATGGAAATGCATGCCCACCCCCCCAAACTCCACTATTTCCTTGTTGATAGTCTTTGCCATGCTACCCCCAATGCTTCTGGGATGTTCCGTGATCTCCGTATGCGCGTGCACCTTCACAGCGCCCCCGGTGGTATTTCTTTGATATGCGCGCATGTGTCACGCGGGATCCTTTTTAAAAGCATGCGCCTGCAGTCTTGTTTTGAGCACGCAGGGGGCGCCCCAGAGCTCTTTCAAGATTTACCTGGGAGGTTGCATATTAGCTTTTTGCTAAAAAAAAAAAGCAAACGTACCAACGACCAAACGGTATCATCGCTTAGCTCTTTCCTGATACCCCTCATTTCTTTGATACTGATTTCAAAGCCTTGGAATTGGAAAGCAAACCCAAAGAACTACGACAACCCTCCATGTGACCCAAAATAATGGTAATAAATGCTTTGAGGCTGTTCCCTGCCTTTACAGTTCGGTGTTTTATGTGCCATTAATATTCATCATCTCTGTGAAAATAATTGTCTTATTTTTACTAACTTTTTTCACAGGGTGCATTATATCAGACAAAAAAGAATCAGTAAAATCCTATAAATGAGCTTTTGCAGCACGTTCGCCAAACGTGCCTCTTTTGATTTTACGGTGTTTTTCTGAGATCCAGGAAGTGCTGTTAAAAATCACTTTTTTCCCCCTCCCTGAATCCTTCTGTAATAAATTATTCCAGAAAGTTACAGAGAAAAAGCATTTCGAAGTTAACATTTGTAAAAATACAAAATCATCAGATTTTACTGGTGGAGTGAGAGTGCTTTGAGAGATGACTGTTGTGGTGATTTAACTGAAATGTGAGTTTTCTCAATCTCAGAGTCTGCGTAATCCATTGGATATGTTTTGTGAAGCCATTTATCGGAAAAGTCTGGCAACGGTCTTCCAGCATCACCAGAGTCAGAATCCATTCGGGACTGAATGGCATGTAATATCTGTCAAGTGGCTACAGCCCTCTGCCATTACTGCCATGATTGATAGCCTGTGACAGCTGATGACTGTGTATAAGTGCGTCTCCTTCTAATCGCCTGTGTGAAAAACTGTCATTGTAATACGGGCATTGGAAGGTCAGGGCTCTTTGGCAGTAAGTCAGTGGCACAAAGGGACTCGGGGCACGATGACCGTGTAGCGGCGGTCAGCTAGTTCCCATGCTGCACAAAATTGTCTTTTGTGGAGTTGTGTTGAAATGCAACAGGAACGTGTGGCCTTTAAGGACTCAGTGGCTTCATTTATTATTTTTTTCTAATTCCCTAAAGTGAATATCTCCATCCAAATAAGGATTAAACGAGGCGTGTTTTCCATTAACGGGATCCATGTCACAGAAACGACACTCCCTGTTGTCAAGAATCTCTGACACAGCAGGGCCACAGTATGCAGAGTGCAGCGACAGGAGAACCAGGTCTGTGATAATGTTCCGGAGAACCGATCTGCTGCAGAAAAGACATGAGGTATTTACGTGTCATCGTAATCTAAAAAGGTCCAAAATTTACGATTAATGTCAATGCGTCGGCGAGAAAATGTGCTATAGCTGGGGGGGG